ACACCCATTCCTGTATGCCACAAGCCTGTTAATTGCAATGGTGCAGCCAAACTCATCACAGAGTGGCGTGGGAAACTGTCCTGCCTTGGAGGAAGAAATAAGGCAGCCATGCTTAGAAACCTTTGGGAGGGGACTGCAGAGTATCTCCACCTAAGTTTCACTGAGCTCTCTCAGGAGGATAAAAGGGATTCTTATTCACATAAACAAAGTGTTCCGTGTTCTCCCGCACACCCGCACAACCCAAGAGGGGAATGAAAAGCAGCTGCCAACTCTGCCATCTCTGTTGTACCACTAAAGTCAATACCTTTGTCTTGTTAACTCGGGGCTGGGCTGGGCACCAGCTTTGAATTTAAGCACTGTAAGGAAAAATGCCCTTACACACTTATCCAAGTTCCCTTTCCCTTCGTCAGGCTCATCTGTGCTGACCTGGTGGGACTGGCCAGATTGTGGCAGAATCTTGAACAGGTCCTGGCTTGCAGCAAGGCTAGAGTGCCCTGCTTTGTCTCCTCCTTGCTGTTCATGGCAGCAATCTCTGTCTCTGAGGGATCCACAATAGACTACAGGCTGCTGGTAGGATCTCTGCCAAGTCTGGCATGCAATTCATTGTAGAAATGGCCGGTCTGCACTGCAGCACCAGATCTATTGTTGCGTTGCGTGGCCTTGTGATATGCCGGGAGCAGTTCCTTCGCTTTCACAGAGCACTGCTGTTGATGCCTGTTGGAGCCCATCACCTGCATCCCCTGTCCAGATCTACTCATAGGCGTCCATATTTCTAGGGGTGGTCTGTAGCTGCACTTGCAGAGTCTCTTCTCCCCAGAGGCCCAGGAGATCCAATACTTTCAGTCTACTCTAGGCAGAAGCGCATCTAGTACTTCTCTGAGTGCGTGGAGCTGATCTGGTCGGTTGGGCAGTTGCACACAACAGAGGTGGAGTTGAGGCAGTGGTGGCTTCTGGTCTCTGTGACCCATGGGCATTGGAGTTTAAAATTGTGAACAGAGTGGTCACTGTCACAGGGAAAGGGGCATTGTGGGACAGCTGCTGGAGGACTGTTAGGGTCGACACAGGTCATTCAGTGTTTACACTTGCACTAAGTAGGCCTTCCAGGGAGGTGGTTTTACTGTGTTGCCATAATGGGGCGCTTATGTCAGCTGGAGACAAATGCACAAATAGTTGAGTGCTTAGCAACTTACACTGACCTAACTTTGTAGTGTAGACCAGGCCTTAGGTTTCTATGCACATCCCACCCAATGATGCTATCCAAATTCACTGTATAGTGTTTATGTGTATGTATGTATTATCACTGCACCCTTTTCATCCTCATTCCACCCAGCGCTTCAATTCAACCCAATCTCACTATTCCCAGCTCAGCCTTTCTCAACCCAAAACTCACTCCACCCACCCACCCACCCAATGCCATTTCACTCACCCCATCTGCCCTGCCCCACCCAATGCCATTCCATTCTTATCTCTACTGTTGCCCTCCAGCAGTGGTTCTCAACCAGGGGTAGGTAGCAGCAGAGCTCTTCCAGGGGGTGCATCAACTCACCTAGAGATTTGCCTAGTTTTACAACAGGCTACGTAAAAAGCACTAGTGAAGTCAGTACAAACTAAAATTTCATACAGCCAATGACTTGTTTATACTGCTCTATATACTATACACTAAAATGCAAGTACACTATTTATATTGCAATTGATTTCTTTTATACTTGTATGGTAAAAATGAGACAGTAGCAATTCTTCAGTAATAGTGTGCTGTGACACGTATTTTTACGTCTGATTTTGCAAGCAAGTAATTTTGAAGTGAGGTGTAACTTGAGGGTACGCAAGAGAAATCAGACTCCTGAAAGGGGTACAGTAGTCTGGAAAAGCTGAGAGCCACTGCCCCACAGCAATCCACTCAACAGCCCCTCCCTCCAGTCAGGGCCGGCGTCCAGCATTTCTGCCGCCCCAAGCCAAAAAAAAAAAAAGACCGCGATCGGCAGTGGCAGTTCAGGGGCCAGTCCTTTGCTCCTAGAGGGCGTGAAGGACCTGCCGCCCCCGAATTGCCGCAGGTGCCGCCCCTCTCCCTTGGCCGCCCCAAGCACCTGCTTGTTAAGCTGGTGCCTGGAGCCGGCCCTGCCTCCAGTTGAGACTATCACATACAGCACAGCTCTATCCTACCCACGCCACACCACAGCACCCACCATGATCTGACCCCATCCCACTCAATATTCTTCTAGCCTATCCAGCTCCACCAGCCCCAGCTTCACTCAGCCAGCACCACTCCCCAGGTCCAGTGGACTCAAATCCCATTCCACTACACAGTTTTGTTATTGACAAGGCAGATTGCTAGTGCTTTGGAACACTTACTTCCAAGGCCAAGGGTTAACCCAGCCATGTAGCACATCTTCAGTTTGATATGGGGCGCTTCCTTGAGAAACTTGATGCAGTCCAGACCCAACAGCAGCGTAATCAAAGCCAAGCCCGCCAGAATGTCAGCTGCGATCAGCAGTGCGCGCGTCACCACGATCTTCACTGAGAAGAGCGAACAAAGCAAAAACTGGACAGATCACAGGCATGACAGTGTGGATTTGACTCCAAACACCTCCTATCACTCTGTGTTAGGTGTGCTGCTGTTCTATGGGTAACACACGTGTGCTATTGTAACCCACTGGTGAGTGTTTGTTACAGGTCCCCCTCTGGGTCCGATCCAAAGAGGACACGAGTCTGGTACAACCCCCAGCTGCAGAGCCTTGGCTTGGTTTAGCTTAGCCATGGAGGTCCCTAGTTCAGTCCTGATGTGTTGTCTAAGGGGGTGGTTGTCCCACACTATAACCACTGCTTATCATGCTGGCCAACAGTGTCTCATTGTTTCCTTGTTGTGTCCATCTGTTGTCTTATACTTAGACTGTGAGCTCTGGGACAGTCTTTTTATTTGTGTTTGTACAATGGGGTCCTGGGCTGTGACTAAGGCTCTTAGGCAGTACTATAACAATAATAATTAATAATATAGATATCACAGCGTGAGCCGTGTCTGGGTGTTGTTGTGTTCCTAGTATCAGTCTTCTCACTGCTGCAAGGATTTCACCGTGTTACGCAAGACACAGCAGCCTGAATGTCAGGAGAGTTATTTCCCCTTTCCACCACACTTAAAACTACGGGACATCTACCAGGCAAATACGCACAGTGGAGTGTGTGACACTCCAGGCAGCACAGCACTGTTTGGACACATGGTTTGATTGTAATGCAGCTGACGCCAGGGTGAACGCCCACCGTCGACATCGATGTATGATCCATTGGTAGAAGTCGTCTGTTTAGATAACGCCTTCGTCTTATCGCGAACAGGATAATGACAGGAACAACTGAAGAGCATCTAAACCTGACTGTGGCAGATCCTCTGCTGGTGTAAATTGTCGAAGCTCCGTTGGCATCATCGGAGCTATGGCAATGGACACCAGCTGAGATCTGCTCCACTGCCTTTATCTCAGTCTGGAATGGTCTTCACTCGGGGTCTGGTTGGGGAGTGTAGCCTAGTGGTCACGGCCACAACCCCTGACTGCCAAGGGGATTGTGGGAGGGGAGCCCGGGCCCTCCCACTTCACCGAGCTCCGACCCAGGGCCCTTTGTGCTACCAGTATTCTGGCAACCAAGGCTGCTTAAGGATGTCCTCCCTGGGCCACTTCCTCTTGTCCTTCCCCTAGGTCAGCTTAGTCCAAACCTTAGTTCCCTGTTGGGAAGTCCAAACCAAAATACATAAGAGGGGGCTATCAATGTCCAGGCTCCACAGATGGGAGAGAGGGGGCTATTTCCCTCTCTGGTTGTCTCTGGGGTGGGTCCTCTCTTCCCTCAGGTAGGGCCCCTTTGGGCAGCTTTGTCAGAGCCTTTAGGCTTCCCTCTGCTCTCCTGGAGCTGTAGGCTGCAGATCTGCTCACCTCCGGCTCTGCCACCCAAATGAGCTAATTCCCTGTTTTTTAATTCCTCCAGTAGATGGAGCATTTGTTGCAGGTGTGGCGGGGCGGGGCTGGCTGAGCCCAAAATAATCTCTTAATCCCTTGTTGCCCAGGGGTTTGTATACCCCATCACACAATTAAAGCTTTTAATACCATCTAAATGTGACTGCTAAGCAGGGGACTTGCCCCTATAAAAGAATCTAAACAACTAAAGGAAAAGAGATGAAATTTTTCACATGAAGTTTTACTTCACTTTGGGTTTTTAATGTTTTAAATGTGTTATATGTGATTAATTAAAGGTTAAAAAGGATTTTTTTTAAAGCGTTGGTTGTTACAGTGGGAAGAGGCAAACTATATAGCTCAATGCAAACTCCAAATCACAATGAATTGCTTAACGTTGTAACATATGTTTTGTAAAAACACCCTCTTCCCGAACACCCACTCTCATCACGACAAGCAGGACTCACATGGATGGCCTGCTAAAATGGAGTCATACTGGTCACAAGTCCTGATGCCATCCTGCACGTTGGTGACACATTCCCTCCACAACCCCCGGCATTTGAGGCTGACCTAGAAGAGGAAGAAAGAAATTAGAGATAGAGACACTCAAGCAAAAAACATCCCATGATCCTCTGGGGCTAGCCTAACCCAAGAAAGCATTGTCGGTCTCAACGGGTAGTGATCAATGGCTCGATGTCTAGTTGGCAGCTGGTATCAAGCAGAGTGCCCCAGGGGTCTGTCCTGTTGCCGGTTTTGTTCAACATTTTCATTAATGATCTGGATGATGGGATGGATTGCACCCTCAGCAAGCTTGCAGATGACACTAAGCTGGGGGGAGAGGTAGATAGGGTGGAGGGTAGGGATAGGGTCCAGAGTGACCTAGACAAATTGGAGGATTGGGCCAAAAGAAAACTAATGAGGTTTAACAAGGACAAGTGCAGAGTCCTGCACTTAGGACGGAAGAATCCCATGCACCGCTACAGGCTGGGGACCGACTGGCTAAGCAGCATTTCTTTAGAAAAGGACCTGGGGATTACAGTGGACAAAAAGCTGGATATGAGTCAGCAGTGTGCCCTTGTTGACAAGACCACCAATGGCATATTGGGCTGCATTAGTAGGAGCATTGCCAGCAGATCGAGGGAAGTGATTATTCCCCTCTATTCGGCA